CCGTTCTTCTATTTAACTTTTAATGGATATTACTGTATATATATAGTACGGTACTGATTTTTTTTGTGTGTGTAAATTTCTGTTTTTTTGATATTCTGTACAGCGCCTGTGAATATTTTAAATAAAAGTTGTTTGTACTTTATTAAATAAAATTATTATTATTAATTTTATTGTTATTATTATTATTATTATTATTATTATTATTATTATTATTATTTCGATACGGAAATTTAGTTTCATCGTGCATTTTTAATTCCATCCGTACATTTTCGTTGTATCCTTTTCGTTTTATTGCATGACGCCTAGGTATGATATATGACTTCTTGATTGGTTAAAAATACGCTGGACTGCTCCATTAAGAAAAAGGTCATATTTCTTTTTTTTTTAAATATATTAAATGATAAGAATCTCCACTCAGAAGAAGGTAGATCTTTTAATGAAATATCAAATGACAATTTTATGTCACAAATAAATGTTATATACCCATATTTGGGTGTAATTTGACCTCATCATGTAGCCTATATATGGTCAAAGCACACAAATTTGACAAATTTTTTTCAGTTCAATTCAACGTAACATTTATTTCTCTTTTTCATATACGTACAGATATTAAAGAAAAAAATAAATATTAATTTCAAAAAAGAGGCAAAAACCCAAATAGCAAAGGCTTGTGAAGGGCTCCTGAGCAAAAAATTGTCAATAAATTGTAGAATTAATATGCTATTAAAAAATTAAGCTTGTGTAAAATAAACACCTTTATAAAATTATTAGTGATTATAAATATATTTAACCAGGGATAAAAAAAAAATGAACTTATATTTAGTTTTAGAATTCATGATTGTATGTAGATATTAAATACTTTTTTAGATTTCTCAAGATCAAATTTTTTGATGGGGATTTAATTAAATTGGTAGGTAGGCTGTTTCAAAGTTTAGGACCCGAAAACTGATCATTGTGTTAAAAAGACACATAAAATTGGATAGATAGAGCCTTAAAGTGCCGATCTTGCCGACAGGTTCTGTTTTTACTGTTTTCAAATATGTAAAGCCTACTGATATTACAAGCGCTGCGCGTGTAGTTGGCGAACGTTCATTCTAAAAACTAAGGAAGAGCATGTCACTTACGAAAGAAAATGTAGAAACACGAGAACTTTCGGATCGGTAACTTGATCTATAAATAATGCTTATAATATCTATAGACTATTCCTACCTTTTTATTTCTTAAAAGTACATCTGAGAAATCGAACCCATCCAGAATGACGTTAAAATCATCTGCGGAGGAACCACTTAAACTTCTCAGCGTTGGCCAGATGTCTAGTTGACTCAGGAATTCGGTTGATATTCCGCTCGAGATATGGCCTGGCCAAAAAGCTACAGTAGGAGCACGTACCCCGCCCTCAAAAATCGAACCTTTTCCACATTTTAACACTCCAGAAAACCCGCCCTTTGTTAAATCCTCCAACGCCGCCCTAACAAAAATTAAAAAAAAAAATAATACAATTTAAGTTGTACTTGATGATTTACGTTATCGCAATAACAAATTAAATAATAGATCTAATGTCATAGGCCTATAGGACTTTATATGGGGACCATTACTCTCATGATGGGAATAAGCCTAGTGTTGACTCAAACCATCTGGAAATGTTATCCCCTCCGATCTCCACAACGGAAAAATCCTGGATTCGACCCTGCTATGTGGCAATTTAAACGTATAATAATTTATAGTCTTACCCATTATCAGAAGTAACAATGACTAACGTATTGTTAATTACTCCACTCTTCTTCAATTCATCCATCACTTCTCCTACCTGCCAATCTAATTCCGCTAATGAGTCAGTGTATTCACCACCTAGGGTTGTATTCCGAAATCTTTTACCCGCGAAATGGGGTAAATGGGTATGCATAAAAGCATACATGAGAAAAAAGGGAGTTCCAGTACAAGCATATTCCCGAATCCAACTTCTCGCTGCTCTAGCTTGACGCTCCGCTAATTCTTTCAAATTAACGGGTTGCTCAATTATTTCATCTCCAAGCATTAGTTGACACGGAGCTTGTGAATAATTACAGCCATCTTGAGATGTGCAGTTATCATCTGGAAAAAAACATTTTTCACACGGACAATCTGCATGCGTATGTGGAATCCCAAAATAATTATCAAAACCGTGATGCAAGGGAAGATATTCTCTATTGTAACCGACACCAAGATGCCATTTGCCGATGAGGGAGGATTTGTAGCCTTGCCTAGCCAACATTTCTGGAATGGTAACCTCACTATGTGGCAGGCCTTCCGTGCATTTCTGATGGAAAACAACATTGCCATCATTATTCCAGACTCCCGTGCGTACAGGATAGCGTCCAGTCAGAAGACCAGCCCTATGCAAAAATGAATATTCATTAACAGGAAACGGACGTCTAAGCAATGTTAAATCTTGTCGTTTATGACATAATTATTAATTTTTAAGCTCGTTAAAGATGTATTCTCCCTTGTAAAACGAAAAAAAAATCATAAATATATAAATGAATAATCATTTTTTTAAATTACCTTGCTCATTTTGCAGCAATTTTTTTTAACTTGAGCATATAAATTATATTATATGTAGATATATATATATATGTATATATATATGTATATATAATATGTATATATAATATGTATATATAATATGTATGTATATATATATAATATATACACATCTAGATGTGTATAAGAGACAGTGCTGATTCCGTACCTGTAAAATGC